ACTTACATAATGAATAACTGAACAAATACTTTCGAGATAAAACCATGATTTTTAAATATTTGGTGAAATAAAAGGTACAGTTGTTTCGATCAAAACAAAGAGGATGTTCATTTCACCAGGACAGCTACTTACAGACAAGTTTATTTTTTCAAAGTTCCTTTGGGACAAGCTATGCTCATTCTTGATTTTGTAACATGGGCAAAACCATGGCACAACAGTAAAAAATAAATACATTATCTCTTTGAAAAAAACACTTTAGAATATGTTCTGATTTTTCTAAAATCAATTTGCTTTAAGCTTTATCCCAGAGCAAATTAAAACACACAAACGTACACATACACACACAAATTATTTAAAATGTGGACTAAAACCCAGAGTATAAACCGGTCTTACAAATTAACATCAATCAACCAAAAACTAACCAAGAGAATGGTCTCTTCCATTACTTGAACAAAGCCTCTTTTGGAAAGAATTAGTCAATGAGAGAAGTCATAAAAGTTAGAGAACTGAAAAGAAATCTGAATTTCAGCCACTATGTGATTAACTAATGAAACCCGACTAGGGTCCACCCTTCGAGATAGACCACATTTGGGGCATTAAAACACATTTTAGTGAATTTCAAAGAGCTAAAATTATACAGTGTCTGCTCTCAGAATAACAGAAAGATAATTGAAAAATCTCAAAATATGTGGAGATTAAACATTTTTAAATAACACATGATTCAAAGAGGAAATCTTAAGGGAAATTCAAAATATTTTGAACTAAATGACAATAAAGACAAAATTTATCAAAATTTATGGGGTGCAGCAAAAGCAGTGCTTAGAGGAAAATTTATAACAGTGAATGAATACAAGTATATTAGAAAATATTCAGAATCAATCACCTGAAGTTCCACCTTATGGAGCTAGAAAGAACAAATTAAATAAAAAGCAAGCAGCAGAAAAATATATTAAGAATTAGAGCAGAATTCAATGAAATTGGAAATAGGAACGCAATTGAAAATAATTAATGAAACCAAAAGCTGGTTATTTGAAAGGATCAGTAAAATCAGTAAGTCTCTAGCCAGAATAATTAAGATAAAAAAGAATGACAGAAATTACTATATCAGAAATGAAAGACTGGCCGTCACAGTTCCCAGGGCCATTAAAAGGCTCATAAAGGAACACTATGAACAACTCTATGCCCACAAATTTTGTAACAGGTAAAACACACCAGTTCTTTGAAAGACACAACTTGTTAATAGTGACACAAGAAATATGCAATCTGAGTAGGTCTGTAGCTATTAAAGAAATTGAAACAATAATTAATAACTTTCCCAACAGAATGCCTTCCCAAAGGCAATAATTAATAACCTTCCCAAAATTCACCAGTGAACCCACCAGAGGGATTCACTGGTGAATTTTACCAAACATTTAAGGAAGAAATTATACCAACTCTCTATAAATTCTTTCAGAGGATAGAGGCAAAGGGAATACTTACTAACCAATTCTATGAGGCAGAGACATACTAATATGAAAAATAAAATTACAGAACATCATCATTCAATAAATGCAGAAAATCCTGAACAAAATACTAGGAAATCAAATCCAAAAACATATAAAAACAATTATATACCACAACTAAGTGGGATTTCTTCCAGGTATAAGAGGCTAATTCGACATTGAAAAATCAATTAAAGTAATCCACCACATCAACAAACTGAACATCTCTGAGTATCACTAAGCACAAAAACCACCAAAATCTTCATTGAAGTCTCTAATGTCTGCATTACAATTCTCTCAAAGTGTGGTTTAAGGACCACCCGTTTCAGACTTACTGGTAACTGTAAAACTCATTAAAAATAAGATTCTGAAACTTCACCCTCCAATAATGGGTCCCAGATAAGCCTTTTTAATCAAGGACTATAGGTGAATCCTAAGCAAATTCCAATTTGAGAACTAGTGTCCTAGCCCACTTTTCAAAACTCAGCTGAAGTCATCTACCACCATGACCCCCTCTCCACAGTTAGAATTTCTTTCTTCTGTACACTTTGAGCACATTACCTGTATTTCCCTTATAACATTTACCACATTCTCTTCCCAACACCCCTTTTCACGTCCCAAGAACTTTTTCATAAATTTTAAAGCAGAGGTTTATAACCTTTTTTCCCAACAGATCATAGCTCAGTCCCAGCAGTAAAAGTTACCACAGGGTATTAAAGAGATAAAAATAAGCCAAGAGATACCTTCAATTCCAAGAGCTAGCTCTAAATCTACTTTTGTCTCCAAAACCAGCCTAAATGGTGAAAAGACCTATTTGATTAAAGTTGGACTGAAAGTTTCAAAAAGAGAAATAATAAAACATACAATTTTATTCCTCTAGTGAAGAGATAATATTTTTAGTCTGGACCATAATCCTATTGTCACTTGCTCACAAAAGGAGAAACTTATTACATGCACAGGCATTTACTGCATTTTGATCTACATACTGTATCAGAGAATAAGAGAACCGAATGAGTTTATACCTATTAAAACAAAAATAAAATCAAAGTGTCCCAAGGCTTTGTTTTCCATTTCATAGTATGTAAGACAGTAATGAAATACTTGGCCAAACATGGAGAGATTCCAAGTATTACCTGTATGATATATAAAAAATGAAATGATTACAAAAACCAAACTTGAGAAATTAACACAGAAAAATACGTGGAAATCAGATTAAATCTTATTTAATCAAAAAGATGTACTTATTCTGAAAAAAGCCCTGAGTGAAGTCATAAAATTATGAATACAAGGTAGGTATTTTAATTCTCATTAAGTCCCACTTCTCTTATCTAAGAGAAAAACGAACTTTTATATAGCTGGGTGATTTTGCCAAATTCACATAATGGGCAGAACCTGGAGCTTCTGAATTCAAGTATTGAATCATTTTCATTATATCATTAGGCAAAGGAATGCAAAAGTTTTCAATTTAACCAAGCTGAGTCCTAAATAAATTTAACCTTTATTAACTTCATTTAATGGTTAAACCCTTTCTTAAGGATTCCAAGCACTGACTACACTTACATATACAGCTGTATCAATTTCATAGCTGGGAAAGCTAAACTGGAGTTAAGTAAATTAATTTAGAAATGTAAGCAACACCAGAATGGAGAAAGTCAACTACCTGGCCCCTGGTGACATTCTTCAGGTGACCTTCTCTTAAGTGGCATTTTGAGAAACAGCATGAGTTTGTTTACTTTAGCTTAAAACAAAAGTACTTTTTTAAAAAAGAGGGTTTCTACTTCTACTATTTCAGAATGCCGGAAATAAGTTCACATTCAGCTTCTCTGTGATTATTTTGAATTCAAGGATTTTAATTAACTACATTGTATCTTAACCTTTTCAGACCAAGGAGTCAAAAACAGCTTAAATTTAAGAAGTGAAGATCTGAGTTTTAATCCAGACTATGCCAACTGTTGTTACTTCAGGTAAGTCACTCCCTATTTCTAAACCTCAGATTCTTTACTTCTGTAAAACTGGTAGTAGGGATGGAGTGCTGGACTATCTTTGGTTCCCTCTGGTTTTACAGTTCCCTATCTGTTTAATTTCACTGATACTAAAGGAAAAAAAATAACACTATTATTCACTGAGGTTAACACACACACACACTTACACAGAGACAATGCCCAAGAGTCAGAGGTTAGTAGTCATAGCACAGTAGAGTTCATCAAGAACCACATTATTTGAAGGTTCTTTTGTTTCACATTCAGTTAAGTTTCTAAAGGTCATTCAAAAGTCAATCATTACACACAATAGCTGAACAATGTCAATATTTGGTTCTGAAAAAGCATGGCAAACTAAAGCTAAATTTCAAGAAAGAAACCCCTCTAGATGAGGATTTGAGATCTTTGAATATACTCAAGTAACTGATAATATTGAATTTTACCAGACCCCTGTGATCTTGAAAAACAACCTAAGTAGGAAATTTCCCCCATTCCCACCCCACCCTTTTGTGTTCTGGAAAAGGCTTACTGCAAAAAAACCACTGGTCCCCATAGGACTTGGGCAAAGCTCATGGATGACTCTCTTGTTTATCTATGACAAGGCCGGACACAAACCTGCATATTCATTCTTTGCTTCATACATGACTAGCTGAACTGCTTGTCCCTGTACGTCAACTGGAATAACATGTTTGTTACCTAAATTCTGGTTAAGATCCTCTTCACCCAAGTCCCTAAACTTGGCCCACCCTCAGTCTGAAACAGCATACAATTCCTTAACAGATCCTGTACAGAATAGGCTGATTCGAGAGTAAAACAATCTTTGATCTATCAGACCATACTACCCTTTCATCTAACTAACTTCTCCATACCTACTTCTTTTTAGCCTTGAAAAACCCCTTTTGCCTAACCTTTCGGACTCTTTCAGAACTTTTATTCTCAGGGCTCTCTCCCTACTGTGATAGTCCTTACCCCCATGCCCTTGCAATATTCCTTCCAAATAAAGTATTTCCTTACTAAGTCCAGACTTTTTATTTGACACCCTTTCCAATTACAAAAGGGCTGAGTTTGAAAGACAAACTGACCTTGCGGTTTAAGTAAGTGACAGGTGTTTATCCTGGACAGGCTAAAGGCATTTTTCTAAGATCTGAAGTTTTGGGCGACCGCCCTGCAGCTAAGGAGGGAGAGGAGATGATCAACCACACAAGCTCAATTCTGGGGCCACCAGAGACGACCAACGGAGCAAGGTCAACTCTGGGACCACGCGCCGTACACTGTGAATGGGACACGAACATTTTCGCTACCTACACCGCACTCCTGGATGTAATTCCTGGTTGGGCAGGACAGATGTTCAGATATTGCTTCCCCAGGGTCCCATGCGCTTCCGGCACTCTAGGGCAGGTGGTGGGTCCTGCCCAGCGGCTCACCCCACTGCTCCCGCCCCATTCATCCTCAGCTCGGAACTCCTCAGGCTCCCTCCACTGGACTGACCTCCTGGCCCTTCCTCCCCAGTTGTTACTCCAGCCGCTACAGAAGGACTCACCATGGCGCCAAGCACAGGTAGTGGACCACACGTCCTGGAGTCACCGTGACCGTCCCAGACCTTACTACCCTACTGGGCAGCCCGTAATCTCTTGACACTGAAAGAGACAGGGTCTTCCTACTCTTCCGGAAGTTCTGCCCGCGCGGGACAGGAAGTCCCGCCCCTCTCCGAACGGCGGCGACCCCACGCCACGCAGAGGTGAGGTACGCAAGACGTCCGCCACGGTCTCGCCGCTGGGTTAGCGGCAGGGGCGGTGCTGACCTTGAGAGCGCGCTGGGAGGCGCAGGCGCAGCACAGGTATGTGGGCGGGCGGCTCCCCATTGTGGCGCTAGCGGCATCAGGAGGTAGGTTGGGTGGTTTGGACGTCAGCGCATCCTCACTTTGGTAGGTGGTGTAGGCTCAGGTTCGTGCATGGGGTGAAAGTCGACCCCAGACCTAGCGGTTTTGGGGAGGGATGAAACCTCAGCCCGTCCTCGCGCTGAGACGATACAGTAGTAAGTGCTTCAGTTTAGTCACGCCCTTTTTCTTTTTACCTTCTCGTGGGTCGTTTAGGTTTTTTTGTTTGTTTGTTTGTTTTTTCGCTGACCCGTTCTGGAGACTACGGATCGTAAGAGACCTGAGTCTCTCATCTTCGCTCCCTGCTTTAGTGAGTCCCCAGTTGTACCCTTCTTCGGGGCAGTGGAATTTGATCGTGAGAAGTTGCTTCACTACTCGCAGATACCAGCCGAAGCCAGAAGAACGTACCAACGGCAGAGAAACCAGGAAGAGAATTCTGCTTTATTTAATACATTAGAATATGGACTGTTTCCTTTTAGTTTAAATGTATATGTCATCAGCTTGAAAAAAGTAAAACTCCCATATACCTCTTAATTTTGTGTTTCCCACCCCAGAATCTATACCTGTCAACTGTGCTTTTTATAACATTTGGGTCTAATGAGACAGTACCGGAGTCAGCTTTGGAATGTGTATACAAAGTACCTTTATCCCAAAATAATTTCACAATGTAGAGATCCTTGCTTAAGTCGAGACCGCATCTGCAGTTTCATTTATAGGATTGTCTTCCCATAGCGCCAAGCTCTGTCATTAATCCGGAATTGAGGAGGGAAACTAGGACTCTTCACAAGTTAAGAAGGTTGGGCAGAAGAGGCTATAAATATTACATTCTACCCTCTTTATCAAACTATACGGAAAGCATAGTGTCCAAGCTATAAACGCATCAGAGCTCTGAGCTATCCAAAAGAAGCATGACAGGGCAGTTGCTTTATACTAGAAAGGGGGCTAGAGACTGTATGCATTGGTTTAGGGTTGTGTTTTGTGGGCAGATGAATAGCATAAGAATCAGAAGATTCAGGAATCATAAGCACTAACACTGGAAACAGCTAGAGGTGGGTGGGGTTGCGAAATTGTTCGCGAAACCCATCCTGCTGTGGATGAATCCCGGAACTTTCCTGAGGGTTCCACCTCTGCCATAGAGGGACAAGATTGTAAATAGACAAGCCCCAGGGCATCTGCAGATGGTAAGTGTGGTAGAGAGGGATTGGAGTGGTTTGCTGGTGTGTCTGTGGAAAGCAGCTGCTACCCTTAAGAAAAGGATGCAGAAGGAAAATGGCTCTCTGTCGGTGACAACACATCTTGTGAAGTCTTACTCTTTCATTGCTGACACTGTAGTTCTTACCTCTGTCCTAGATCTGGCAGCCTCATTGAGGTTCACGAAGTATGTCCTATGTGACACTAAGACTGGAATTATTGTCAAGGTGGAGTCCATCTCTGCTACATTACAATCCCGAAAGGAAATCACACTATTTGTTATTCGCATATTATTTTTTATAGATCAGAGGTTTTATGTTCTCTATTTAGTGTATGGTAAGTTTATAACCCTTGGTTAATGTTCTTTAATGTTCTTATTTCTATTTTTTAAAGATTAAAATACATACAGTATATGTTTTAAGACAGCATTCCCCAGGGTTGTGGGGGTTTTTTGTTTCGGGTTTTTTTTTTTATATCTTACAGAATAATTAGAATGGTTTGAATTGGTTACATGCCATGAAGTAGAGGGATTCACCTATTTCCATTACTTAAAATAGGTGAGAGTCAGACAAAGACATATAAAGAAAGGAGAGAATTATGAAAGGGAAAAAAGGTATGGATGATGGAGACTAAAAAGAAATTTGGGCCCTGGCTGGTGTGGATCTGTGGTTTGAGGATTCGCTTTCAAACCGAAAGGTCCCTGGTTCAATTCCTGGTCATGGCACAAGCCTGAGTTGTGGGCCAGGTCCCTAATTGGGGATGTGTGACAGGCAGCCATTTGTTATTTCTCTCCATCTCTTTCTCCCTCACTCCCCCTCTCTTTAAAAATAAAAAAAATGTTTAAAAAATGTGGATTTTGTCAGGGGACTCAAGGTGTCCGATCTTTGATTTAGGTCTTGGTAGCTTACGGTTACTGTGATTAGGACTTCCCGAGTGAGAAAACACCAACAAAAAGGTAACTACTTCAACATCCACACGGACCTGGAACATTTTCTAGTGATTTTCTAGTGATTTATTAAGACCTATCACTTTGCTAAGTCCAGCTCCATAGTTTTTGTAAAATGTTTTTCTAATGAGCCCCTCCTACAAAGAAATTTCCACTACTTTTTTTTTACATTTAATAAATATGATTATTACATGCTTTCTTATGTAGTGTCTTTGTAATTCCCCATGTATATTTGTCTAATTAGACAAACCCCTGGTAAGCTGGGGCCTTTTTGTATTGTCTGCCTCCTTCCCCTTAAGAAATAACAAGTAAATATTATGGACAAATGTTAGTTGTGGCAATAATTAGGTAAAGAATTAGGAACAATCTTTAACAATTAGAGATTGGTCAAAATCCACCATGTATACTTAGTGAAATATACTACAGCTATTTTTAAAAAGCCATTAGACTAGTCTTTCAAATGGAAAAATGTTTATTTTCTAAATTAAAAGAGTAAGATGCAAAATTGTGACAGTATGATTGTTTTGATGTGAAAATAATCCTAAGCATGGAACAAAGAGTAAAAAAGGAAGTTACCAAAATACATCAATCACCACTCCTGGAATTACCACTCTAAATCTTTCTGTAAGGGGGTAATTTTTTAAAAACTTATTTTCTTTTCCCTAAGAACAGGTGAAGGCTTTTCTAATGCTTTATAGCATACACCCATAGTACTCTCGTCATCCTAATTTGGGACAAAAATGTTCTTCAGAAGCATATTGCAACCCTTTAATAATCTGGTAGCATGGCCTTCCTATGATCCTTTCCTTTTTTACATGTTACCATAGTTATATGTAGGATGACACCACAAATTTGATTAATTGATGGAATAACTCCTGTAATTTTTACACAAACAATGCACACTTTCACGGGTCACTAGCATACATAAATGGAACCTTGATATCATTTTGATATCAAGAAAGTATTCAAACAACCACCACCAAGGCAGTAAATATACAAAACCATAAGAAAGTCTGTTTAAAAGGTAAATTAACTTTATTCAATCATTAAATATTCATTGAGTACTTTCCCAGTCACTGTACTAGACTTGGGGAAACAGTGGTAAATAGAAGAGACATGATTCCTACTATCAGGATTTACATTTTAGTGGTAATAGGCCATAAAGTATAAAACAGTAATTGTGCTAAGCAGAAAATTAGATAATTATTTTCTGTAATCTATTTTAGATGACCAAGGAAGCTTCTGAGAAAGAGCCATTTAAGCTGCTTTTTACAGGAGAATCCAGCTTTGCAAAAATTGGGTAAACCATTACTTGCAGAGGGGGCAATAATACAAAACCCTAAGGCATGAACCAGCTTGATTATTTCAGTAACCAAAAGAAAGCCTACCTGGTTGGAGCATAATGACTAAGAAGAATATGGGGATCTGAAAGAACTAAATTATGTTGACATTGAAAGCCAGCAAAGTTTGTATTTTATTCTAAATGCAATGGAAAAAGCATATTAACCTGAGGACTGATATGAAATATTTTTAAATCTATTCTGATATATTTTCATTGGAATGTTTAGTCTGTTTACATGTAACACAATTACTAATATGCTTGGATTTAAATCTGCTATCATTATTTTCTCTTTGTCCCATCTCTCCTATGTTGATTTTTTTCTATTATGCCTTTTTTTAGATGGGTTATGTTTACTTACTCCATTTTCCAATGTCGGTGGGAGAAATGAAATAAGTAAGAATAATTTGTATTGTACCTCTTCCTGGGCAATGTAAGGACCTGTGAACACATCAACTTAATTTATCACCTCACCCCATGTTATGCTCATACATATTGTGTATACTTTATATATATATATATATATATATATATATACACACTAAATTATTTAAAAGCATTTTTATACAATTAATATGCTTTTATATTTACTCAAACATTTACTTTGTCTATTGTACTTCATGACTCTCTGAATTTGAGCTTCCATCTGGGATATTTCTTCCTAAAGAACATGCTTTAGGTACTCCCTTTTGTTAATGTCTGCTGGCGACAAGTTCAGTTTTTCTCTTCTGAATCTATTTATTTCACCTTTATTTTCAAAGAACTTTACTGAGTTAACAGCTATTTTCTCATTTTGAAGATACATTCTAGTGCTTCTGGCTTCCATAATTTTTTTTGAGAAATAATGTTTTATTTTTGCCCCTTTAAAGGTAGTCTCTCTTTCCTTCTGATTGCTTTTAAGATGTTCTTTAAAATTTGAAGGAGTTTTATTCTATGATTAAAAATTATTTCATTTATGTTTGTTTTCTTTTTGAGATTTGTAATGCTTGAATTTGGAATCTGATGTCATTATGCTTTGGAAAATTCTCAGCTCTTGTCTCATCAGATATTGCTTCTGCCCCTCTTCCCTCCTGGTATTCCCACTTGAATGTATGTTAGATCATTTCACTTTATTCCTTTGGTTTCCATTCATATGTCTCACTGTGGTTAAGACTGGATAATTCTTGTTTTTTTCAGTTCACTGTTTTCTTTTTATTTACTTTTTAAAATATTTTTTTAATTTATTTTTAGAGAGGGGAACAGAGAAAGAGAGGGAGAAACATCAGTGTGAGAGAGAATTACTGATTTGTTGCCTCTTATATGCCCTTGCAACTGAGGCATGTGCCCTTACTGGGAACTGAACCCGTTATC